AGGACCTTTCCATGTCCCCACAGGAAGGAATACCCTCAAGATTTCTCGAGTTTCCTTGGAAGTCTCGAAGAAGATTCCCTGCTCCCTGATTTAGTAGCTCAGACTGAATATCTAATGGAGGAGGCCACAGCCTGTTTGTCTGTCTATTTGCCTGCCTGCCTGATTTTAATAAAGTGCCCTGGGGGACCCCAGTTAGTCTATAGGTCATTCCTGCTCATCTTGGGCAGCAGGAGTGGTTTACCAACTCTTGTGAGTCTGGACCACACTGGTTGGAAGGCTATTGGAAGGTTTAACCTCTGAGTATCTGTTGAATGAATATGGGAGTGAGTAGACCAGACAGCATAAGCAATAGGCTTCTCAGTCTGTGCACTAACACTGGGAAGCAGTAGTCATGGTGGCTGATGGGGCCCTTTCCTATAGTTCCATGGTAATTGAGATACGGCATAATGGAGGTCCCCCACCCTCCATAGCTAAATTGTGTCTAAATTCTCATGAAGCTGAGCGGAATCAGAATGATCTCTGTCTCTCTGAGAGACACACACACCTTGGTCTGTTGTGTCAAGTGCAAAATTGTATAAGAGTGTATAACACACATGTAGAGTATGAGGGATGGGAAATAATTACTCAATACCCACAGGCCCTGACTGCAGGAAAAAGGGTTTTTCTGAGATTACAGAGTTAAAAACGAGACCAAACCACTGCCAACACCTATGGCTTCATTCCCCACATGTGGCTTCTCTACTTTTAGCCAGCTGAACTGGTTCCAGTTTAGTCATTGTCTGCATTTAGTCACAGAGCCCTTTCTCCCCCCAGATGGCATCATCTAAAGCCCATCTGAGACGGCTGTCAGCAGTTCTTCTGAGTTCCATGTTTTGACTGAGGAAACACTGGACTGTCAGTCCTGATGAATGAATTGCCCTGCCCCTTCCCAAAGGTTTTCCTGCCTCGTTACATAAACTCAAGTGATTCTGAAAGACACCGAAGAAGGCGACAAACATCAAAAGTTGACTCTGTCAAAAAAATGTTACTATCATCAGTGCAACTGAGACCCTTGCTTCTCAGCCTTTTTGCCTGGCTTAAACTTACAGCCTAGGAGGACATCTTGTCACACATGCATTCCCATCATCAAGCCAGTCTCCTATAGCCCTGCACATTATCTGAGAGAAAAATGATGCCTGCATCAGTGTGAACCAGATAACTGTTTCAATCTTCAAATTTCCAAACTCTCCTCCCATAATTATGAGCCAAAGGCTTGCCTCTGGGCCTGGCCACCATCTATGCTCCATACTGGGTAACTCTGTGATATAAATTGATAATATTCTATGTCATGGGAAGTAATAGATATCCAGTAACACCTCAGCCACCTAAAACAGTTAGGTATACTGTTATGCTGTTACCATTACCTCTGGATGCCATTTGGTTTACAAGTCTAGATTATAAAGAATAGCTTCTGTTTCTTGTGAGTTGTTTCCTTAGACGCCTTCAACTAGGAAAATCCTTAGTCAATACACAACTCCTCTAGACTCAATTGCCAGAAAGGGTTAAAACTCTGTCACTAATTTGGGGGCAGCTGTGACAACTGATATGGCCATGTTCCTATCACCTTTTCTTTGTTACAGCCTGCTTCTCTGTCCCTTTAGCTCTGTCACTATGCCCCAAGCAAACAGTACCCCATTTCACAAGAGACTTAAGAATTCAACCAGATATTAGAGGCTTCAAAACTGCAAATTGTGTATAAACTGTCAAACTGGTACACTGTTTGTGCACCAGGATCTCTGTCAATGCCACCTGCATATTCTGCCACTCACAGCCTGCTAGAACATCTTCTGAGATCTAAACAATGCCTTCTTCTGGCTTCACTTGGCTGTTATCAACCATGTCCTCTTATTGAAGACCCCAGTTCTGTACTCAAAAGTCAGCTGACATAGACTCAACCTCCCATGGTTTCAAAAACATGTTTATCCTCCTTTGGAGAAGCCCTCACAGGTTATTTCACTAGTTTGCAGCATAAAATATCACTGCATCTCTAATGACATCTGAGTTGCCTGCTCAAAAGGCACAAAAACTCTGCTGCAATATCTGGCAGAAACATGTTATGAGAAAAAAAAACCTCCACAAATTTCCTGGAGATGATGGCTTCTATACAGCCTGGCTCCTTGAATTCACCAAAACTGTAGTGCCTCCTCAGACTGTCACACCCTGGGAATGCCCAGTGGCCTACCTGTGCAAATGCTTGGATACAGTTGCTAATGTCTGCCTCTTCTTTCTGTGTCTGTGCTCTGATAGCCACTGTCCTTCTGGTCAAGAAAGCTTACAATCTCAGCCTGTGCCATAACCTAACTCTCCAGGTGACACATACTATAGTGGAGCTGCATTGGTGGCTCCAACAGCCAGGTCACCCAGTACCAAGTACTTTAATGCAAAAATTCCTGGCACTAGCAGATTAAATATTCTTGACTAAACCAGACTCAAAAAATGGACACCCTGACAGATGCTGAGTACACCTTGTGTATGGATGGAAGGAGCTATGTTAGGAATGGAGTCAGACAATCTAGATATGCTGTGGTTACTTAGCACAAAACTCCTTTGGCCAAAACTTGCCTTCATCCCTGAGATTTTGAAATCTGCCACCAACAATGAAAAGTTGTCCTCAAAATAATCTGGTTCATAGGCTTAAGCCCACCATAGGGATCTGACTGACTGAAACATCAACCCCAGGCAGAAAATCTTTACCCATTATTCCAAGAGGATCTGTCTTTATCAGAGCCAAATCTGTGCCCACTATATGTTCTGCAAGCTCAAGACAGAACACTGGCACGTTATACCTGCAGCCAGCTCAGACTTTAGAATCTATGTGATTGGCCCTGTGTCACCTGACCCATCAAGCAAGATTTAGTGCTCATTCACAACTATCAGGCTAGCCAAGGCTAAAGACGTTTGCAGGAACCTGCTGTGAAAAATCTTCCCTAGACATGGTCTACTATTGGCCATTGGTGACAATGGACTAGCATTTATAGCAAAGGTATTTTAAAAGCTAATTAAATTAAATAAATATTTAATTTAATATTAAATAAAATCCATATAGAACATACAATCCTTAAAGGTTTACAAACATTTTTTAAAAAAAATCTTGTAATCAGCACCATAAAAGTTTAGCTAAAAGACCAGGTATACCTGAAGCCTGAAAAAGGACAACTAAATATGCAAAATTTGTCCATACCTTTGATGGTCAAGTCCCAATTGGTAAGAGTAAGCACCTTGAGAGGTCCAAAGAGGTGAAGCTACTTCATATGAATTTGGTTTCTTTTTTTTTCAGTTTTTTAATTTAAAGGGGATAAAACAGAATAAATGCAATGAAAACAAATTAGTGTAAAAGATACAGCACTTCAAAACATTACAAAATCAACAGTGGTTGCCATAACGCCTTTTGAAGTCTTGTAAACAGTTGAGGATAATTTAGGATACAGTGAAAATTAAACAGAATTGAATAGAATAGAAACAATAAAAACAAAACAATGAATGCAGTAAAGGATTTCAAAACAAGCCCATAGTAAATCCAAAATTGCTAACATAATATATATCTTGCTATCTTTGAAACAGCTGATCTTGCCATCAGATTTGATGTAATCAAACAAAACAAAAGAGAGTAAATGATATAGGACTTTTTTGCTTGTTGGTTTTTACAGTATTAGCACTTTTATTACAAAAATACCATTAAAAACATTTCTAATAAGTATTTTGGAGTCAAGCATTCTTTGTTTGTTCTGAGGACAATCTCGGGGCCTTGTGTTTGCTAGGTCAGCTCTCTACCATTGAGCTACAGACCACCAGGATGTAAATGTAAATGTAAATGTAAATGTAAATGTAAATGTAAATGTAAATGTAAATGTAAATGTAAATGTAAATGTAAATGATATAGGACTTCAAAACAAGACTGTAGGGTCTCAACCATGGCTGCAACCCTCAGAAAGAGATCCCTCCCAGATGCCACACTGCATACTGCTATCCTCTGAACCACACTGGCCCTAGCCTGCAATGTTAGTGAAACACCAAAGCACCACAGGCATCCGATTGCATTTCACCCTCATAGGTATCATCACAGCCAGTGTTTCTCCAGATAAGCAGGTTGCTTACATTGGCAGGGGTGGGTGGTGGAGGTGGTACTTCTGGTTTGCCAGCCTTCACACTGGAGGGGACTGGGGGACTGTCTGTTGCAGTCCTGTGGTGGCCCAGGCATGGCGCTGGTCCTCAAACTGGGTTTGCTTGCTGATAGGGCTTTGTTCTCTCTACCCCTGGTCCATGAATAGCACTAACTCATGGGGAGAGGTTGGGGTCCATCTCAACAGCTTGGTTTTTCTAAAGACATTAGAATTTCTGAGCTTTCTGCTCCTTTTTGAAAGTCACAGAAGAAGAATATTTAATGGCTACATGTGTAAAGCAGTGCAGAAAAGTCTAAATCTGAAAATCTTTGTCTCCTGGTGGTCTGTAGCTCAATGGTAGAGAGCTGACCTAGCAAACACAAGGCCCTTAATTGTCCTCAGAACAAACAAAGAATGCTTGACTCCAAAATACTTATTAGAAATGTTTTTAATGGTATTTTTGTAATAAAAGTCCTAATACTGTAAAAACCAACAAGCAAAAAAGTCACAATTACCTGAGGCAAGAGGGGCGTGGGCTGTGTGAAAGTCTTGCTAGTGTGGTTTTAGAAAGTCACTGACAGACTCCTGAGGCAGGGCACGTGCTCCCTCCCTCCTGGTCTCCAGGCTCCCAGTGTTATTTGGGTCTGACAAGAGGGACTGCATCTTGGGATCAGCACTGTTCAGAGAACTTTGTGAGCTGCTTGCTACGTACCTGTGAAGGTGATCATACAGAACTGCAAAAACGTCTCATTCCGTTAGGATGAGGAACTACAGCCGTTATTGCTTTTGCATACTGAACCAGCCCTGCCATCCTCTCCTTGCTGCTGTCAGTTGTCCCAGTCCCTCCCAAACTGAAAGAACATGCAGCCAGAGTCAGTACTTAGCGACGTGACCACGAGGGGGCAGTATCACCCAGCTGGTGCTGAAGCTGTATGTGGAGGGTTCACTTCAGGGATTCAAAGAGAGCAGGCTGAGAGCAGAAGCACAGCGTTTTCCTTATTGGCTGAGAAGACAGTGCCAAAAACCAGTACAGTCACTAGAGTGAAAAAAAGGGACACCTCGATACCAGAAGTAGCTCTCTGGCCCGAGACTGCAAGTCTACCATTGATTCAATTGGGAAGAACCATGAGGGCGCCCGCTCATGCTCTGCTCACGTTCCTGTGGTTGCAGCTGGACTGTAAGTTGAGGATTCGGGGCCAAAAGACACTGTATATTAACAGGTGCTCTGCAGACGTCCAGAGAGAAGACTGGCTTTACTTTGGTTCCTTACAATACTGTAGAAAAAGTCAGCTGTGGAGAGTGATCTGACTTTCTCTGCTTTCCTTTCCTCTGTGCAGGGGGCCGAGCAGAGCAGCTGGAGCAGCTTCCCCGCACCCTGCGCGTGCAGGAGGGAGACACCTCTGTCATCAACTGTACTTACTCGGGCAGTGGCTCGTTCTACTTCCCTTGGTACAAACAAGAAGCTGGGAAGGGGCTCCAGCTCATTATTGACATTCGTTCAAATGCAGCGAGAGCGCAAAAGGGAAGACTCCTGGTTTCATTCAGCAAGACAGCTAAGCAGGTTTCCCTGCACATCACAGACATCCAGCTTGGAGACGCAGCCGTGTACTTCTGTGAAGCCAGTGCACAGTGCTTGGCAGGCACCTGCAGCCTGTGCGAAAACCTGCTGCTGTGCTGGGCCTTCTGCTGGTCTTGGCACAGACTTTTCAGTATTTGCTGTGTTGGATTTTAAGTGATAACTACTGCAGAGACATTTAAAGCATATAGTAGGGGAGTTAGCTCTCGGATGACTTGGGAAGTCTCAGCTTCAGAACATCTTGTTGGTACTAAATACTGATGCTTAACAGTTTTTCTGAGTTATTTTTTAATTGTTTTTATTTAAGACGTACCAACGTGATGTTCTGATACACACGTACAAGGTGGAAATAAGATTTTTGTGTCTTCTGCTTTTTAACAATTCTAATGATAAAGTAAATTCTGATAGGTAGTTATTTATGTTTTGTGTTGATTTGCAGGCTTTAAAGATGTTTGCTATTGAGAATCTTCTCATATAGTAATGGATTAGTATCAGAAGCTCTGCCATGGAAAAACTTTAGAGTACTTAGAAAACTGAATTCATTATTTTTAGTATAAAACATTACATGTTAAATATAGAAAACTAGTACCTTGGTAGAGGGTTCTATGTTTGAGTGTTGAATTTTAATACAGTGTGTGGATTCATATAACCATTTTGAAATCATGACACAAACAGTTCCATCCCATAAAATCTCTTGACCTGTCCTCTGGCAGTCACACTGTCTGCATCTGTGGTAGTCAGCTCTCCATGGCTGGCAGAACACCTGTCTTAGATCCACCTAAAGTGGCAAAATCTATTCTGGCTCAGTTTCAGAGACTGCAGTCTGTGTGTGGCTGCCTGTACTGCGTTAGACCTGTGTCAAGGCAGAGACATGGCAGAAGGGCAGAGCAGGAGACAGCTGCTCATGTCAGGATGGCTAAGGGCAGAGAGAAAGGGAAAGAGCAGAGAGGGAAGGGGGAGGGGCAGATGCAGTCTCCAGTGTCTCACCCCATAGCCCAGTGCTTCCATCTGGGTGTCACATCCTGTTTGTATTACCTACCAGTAATGCCATTTAATTATGACCTCATCTGTGGACTAACCCATTGGTGATCTGTGAACACCCGTGGTAAAAACGTTTTCTAGAACTGCATCAGCAAGCCAGGCTTCAGTACAGTCAGCCTTTTGGGAGACATTTTGGATTCCAAGCATAATACCATGATTAACTCCTTACAAACTTAATATGTTATGCTTCTCATGATGTCTGGAGCCGCACAATAGGTAAGCATTTGAGAAGGCTGAATATTGAACAGAGGAAGCACATGGCACTGGATGATCCTCATTTCTGCCCTCACCTCAGCTTCTTACACCTGAATGCTTTACACTTTTAAATAATTTTATGAACATAACTTATCATTATAAGTTAATATCTTTAATTATTTACAATGTAATTCTAACGAGCCAAAATAAACAAAACACAAAAAGCCACTTATGGGTCATTAAGGATGAGAAGACTCTATAGATGATTATACAAACAGATACAATTGATAGAATTTTTGGCATCGCTGAAAATATAGAAATATGAAATAGAAGTGGCCTTTAGTTTAAGGATGTGGAGAGAGAACCCCAGGACCACTGAGGTCTGGCTTTTCTCTCTGCCGGACACGTGGTATGGGGACATACACATAGCTTAGTTTTGGGGTGGTACCTAAGGGGCATTACTGATGCACAAGAAGCCCACTGGAATTCATTTTGTGACACAGGTAAATTGCCTAGGGGCGACGAAGATGACCTCAAGATAGAGCCCCTTGGTTCTGCCTCCCAGCCTCCCATGGCTGCAGCATCCCATTCAGGGTACAATCCTTTCAATAATCAAGTTGCATCATATTCTGTATATAAACTTAATTGTACCATCTTTGTTCTAAAGTTTTATCATTAGGTAGTTTTCTAAAATTTCAGACTCATTTTATTGGTCAGAATTCACTTTAGCCATACTAGCTGGGGATGATTTTGTCAGATTTTCCCAAAGGCATTGAAGGACGTATTCAATAACAGTTTGGGGTTTGTTGCACTAATTCCCTAGAAGAGCTGAATTGTAACATTACTGTAGTTTTCATCTTAATTAAAGCCTTTTCCTAAGCTAGTCATGTTATCAATAAAACAGCAAAATAGGTAAAGTAGAAACACACAGCGTTCTACCATTAGTATGAGAAAATACCACCCAAGGGATGACAAATGAGGGCTGCACAGAGTGTGACCATCAGTGGTTCCATCATCAAGGGTGAGCTGACCACTGAGGATGCACAGTCTACTTCATGCAGGAACATGTGGTTTCAAGGATCCTGGATCAGCACTCATTTTCTGTGGATTGTCCTGCTCATGACAACTCTGTGTTGGGATGTTTAATATGACTGATTTTTAAATTCGCATTTAAAGATGAATGAGACTAATTGGTAAAATGCAGCCGAGGATCAGTTCCTTGTACTTCGTTTGCTGAACTGGTAGTAAATAATATCAGTGAGCTTAAAGGTTTATAGGCAACTTTCTATGGAACTGTGCTCAGAACCACGCCATCAGACTATTTATGGTTTGGAAGTTACATGGTTTTACTGGTGACCAGATGCTAGGCAAATAACATATAACTGTGAGATGGAAGGATCTATGAAAGATAAAGAAAAAATATAATTGGGAGGCCTTGAAGGTTCAACAATGTCCTGATACAGTAATTCCACTTTTAACCTTTCATTTGTTTTTTCCAAATCATCTGAGGACAGGGAGGAGAAAAGGTAGTTTCAGAGTGAACCTGAAAAAACCTGAGTAGAGAAGAGAGGCTTTATTAGAGTACCGAGGCTCTGAGGGCTCTATCTAAACTCTAGCAAAGACAGCTTAGTGATTTTTTTTTTCCTTTTCCAAAATAGGCTACAGAACAGATACACATGAGAAATAAGGAGAAGTGGTGTTAAATCCATAAGTAGGTGAAAAGAGGTCCTGTAATTAGTATAAACATCTTTGTCTTCTATTCATAAAGTGATTGATTCATATCTTACAAAAACAGCATACATGTGAGGATACATGATTACTACCTCTTACATTGTCTCCATAATCCATTGCACAGTGTTTTTAAATAAACATCAAACTCCATCAAAGTTCCACCACAGATGCAATGACACTGAGTGTATGTAGCCACTGGTTAAATCAATTTTTCTGTCACTACATCTATGTTTATTTTCAATTCAAGTATTCAAAGTAAGAGTTGGAAGCTCAGAAGGAAGTGTGACTTGCATAAGGTGTCAGACAGGACACAGAGCAGTGTTACATGGCTCACACCCACCTGCTGCACCAGGAAACCTCTGTTTCCTGCTCTGGCACAGCAGTAGCAGCAGCAGAACAGAGCCCAGCAATTCCTCCCTGCCCAATTCTTCCCACCTGGTGTGGAGATGAAAGCAGGGAGTCAGTATCTCAGACAGGATGTTGCCAGGGTCTGGCAATAGTTGTAATAGGAGGCCACACTCACTGTGAGAAGGCCCGCCTTAAGGTTTGGTAATGCATGACTCTTACAAAGACATTTGGAGGCTCTTCCCTACAGAGACACAAACCCCTCTATTTGTACAAAATAAGACTTTCTTTCCCCTAATCACCATCTTTTCAATCAGTTAAATTCTCACTTTAGCAAAGTTTTCACATATTATATTTAGTTTTATAAATTCATTTGTTTCATTGATTACTAATCTCAGATAGTGGTTTTATAGTAAAGGCTATTGGCTGTTAGAGGAAGTCACTTTTCATCAGTACTCTTTTTCAAGAATTTCTTTATACTTGACGAATATTCATTTTTAACAAACTTTAAAGATTCAGTCCCATTTTCCTTCTATTTAATAATACTATATTAAATAAAAGAACAAAGTATTGTCCACCTGGTGTCAGAAGCTGACAAAGTAAATAAGATCCAACATGTACAACAGATACTGTGAAATGGGAAGAAACTCTTCAAAATAAAACAGAAACTGGGATGGAGGAAAGCAAAAAAGAATAAAGGGAAAAGAAGAAATGTATATCTCTATCTGTCTGTCTGTCTGTCTGTCTATCTATCTCTATCTATCTATGTATACATTTTCACATTGCTTAAGACAGTAATTTTTACTAGTCCATTGAAAAGAAAAGTTTGTGCCTATTTTGTTTCTCTTTCATTTTTTTCTTTCCTTTTTTTTTTGGAACTGAGAGTTGAACTGTTGAACACAGGATCTCACACTTGCCAGGCAGATGTCATGCCACTGAGCTACATCCCCAGCCTGTGCCTTTATTATTTTACCAACTTATCATGCCTATATCTTGTAATATGAACACTACTTTGAAGATAACCATACATAATGTACAAAACATTGTTACCAAACACTGCACAGGTGTAGTTATACTTTAAAATTTTATCACTGTTTTTATTCTTTTTTCTTTAAAATAAAATAATCAAAAATAATAAGACTTGAAAACTAGATTGTTGGTTTATATTTAATGAATATATGAACACACAAAATAACTTTTTTGTTCATGAAATATATTTTTTTAATTGAAAATGTACTTTAATGTTCTTTAATTATATGTTAAAATTCCTTTCTTTAATGTCAATTGAACTTCACTAAATCTATTCCCACATGGGAATATTTGTGAATATAGTTGCAAGTGAATCTACACCCAGTTTTACTGATATCAAAAAATAAAGAAAACCTGTCCTGTAAATATTATTGTTGATGTATTTAAGAGTTTCTAAGCTTTGATTACAGATAATTTGCAATATATTCATATCAGACCATTAAATTTTGTTTTACAGAGCTAACCTTTCACTCATCACCTATAAAAAGCATAATGAAAATGTGAACTCTTGAATGGAAATGTAAAGATTTAAACTTAGAAAAACTGTAAAACAACAAGTAGCATATTTACAGAATAATGCAGCTTGAATTTTTAAAAGGTTTTCATGGATCTCTCATCCTCTTCCAGAGGAGCCTGGTAGCTGGCAGGAGCATCAGCAAACTCCTACCCCCGCAGCAACTTGATCGGCAGGCAAGAGACTGAGTGACCCCTCCCCACATCTGGAGGACCTCAACAGGCAGATGGGAGCCCAGGTGAGTCCTCCCCAACCTAGAGGACCTCAATGGGTTGGTGGGAGCCTCAGTGACAATTTGCCCCACCTACAGTACTTGGAGGCCAGGCAAAGGTGTGGGTGAGTCCTCCACCCTCCACCCACCTGAAGATTCTTGGCAGTCAACTGAGAGCATGAATGAGGCTTTCCTCCAAACAGAGGATAATGAGTGGGCTGATGAGAGCACCAGTAAGCATTCCCTCAACCTAAAGGAACCTAACTGGGCTTGCAAGAGCACCATTGACACAACA